CTTGTTTGAGCCTTTTTTCTTTGGTTTAAGTTTTTGGCCGTTCAGATCATGTATTTTTAAATTTATTTAGCAAAAACGACACATCTTGCATCATTAAACATGCACCGGTTCAAAAAAGTCTCAATTTCTGTTTTATGTTGTACAAAATATTAAACAATAAAGATATGCAAATGATATGAATTGTGAGTATAGTTTTTTCTGCGAGCCTAAATTAAGTTAAAAATTCTAAATAGGTAAGTTGACATTTTTATTCGTCCACCAAATAGGATACAATTTTATACATGCCAAATATTATATGCTTCTAATTTTATAAAACAAACGAAATAAGGGATATTTCTGATTTATTCCTTCTCCATAAGTTGGGTTCACATGTTTATTCAAAATACACCCGAATGCTTCAGTTTTATGGAGCACTGTAAAAGGTGAGTACTAGGTACATAAAAATTTATTGTTGGGTTTATAAATAAAATTTACAGTTTTTGTCTTCAGATAACGAACTGTGAAAACCATGGCAATTCAGAATTAAATTGTATTACCTCATGATTTGATTAAAATTTTAACTTTATTATTTAACTAAAATAAGTGACAAAGACCATCTTTACAATTTTTAATTAAATATCTATAATAAAATATTATATATAATTATAAATTATATAAATATTATATAAAACTGTTATGTTGAAGAAGTTATATACGGTCTTTTTAATAACTCAAAACGTTTTTGTAAATGTTAGTATTTTATTTAGTTTAGAGGATACAAATTCGATCGAATTGAAAAAAAAACATATTATGTCGACATAAATTCGTCAAAAATGCTTTTTAATGAAGTTTGGACTTGTTGAGCACTTTATTCGAAAATGTGCATTACAAAGAGACGTTACGAGTAATAAGTAAATTTGATGATAATTTTAACAAAATAATTAGGTATGCAAAATACTTAGAAGAATAGCTTAAAACCAAACAATGCCCACTTTTAGATTCTAAATACACTTTTGATTTTGTGTTCGGTCAATTTTTCATCAAATAGGTATATAATATTTTTCAGTGAAACACTTCGTAATTATCAGCATATTAACTTTTAAAGAAAACACTGTTAAAAGTCTAAACAAACAATGATTTACTTGGAAATTAAAACATACAGTCGTAGTTTGACAATTTATTGATTCAAATGGTAACCCAAGCACAAACTTTTAAAAGAACCTAATTTAAATTAGAAATTTATTTGATCAGTCAATAGATGCGTGTGTTTGTCATATGCATAAAATAATAAGTGCTTGAAGCTTGATGACATTTTTTGCATAAAACTCGTCGGTGTACAAATTTGATTACCTATGATAATTGAATGATAAATACTGAATACGAATATACGTTTGTTTATAAAATGGCATGCATTAAAACCGGTGTTTTGTTGGATTTTCTGTTTAATGAATTTTAATTCTTCTCGGATTAGTTCCATACTCCTTTTTTGATTGGCTTCCAATCCTCTTGCTTTAATTTTTTAAAGCAGATGCTTGCGTTATTTTTTAATTACTTTAACCAATCCATTCTTTACCGATTTAACTATTTGGTAGCTGCTAGTCGTAGAGTGTTTCTGCTTTTGAGTAGGTGATTGAACAATGCATGTGACAATTCTATTTCGACAATTCCACCGCGAACCTAAAAACAGGAAATCAACATGTGGTTAAACCAACGTGTTCAGGTCATTACGGCATCCACAATTTGCACTTTTCATTTACAATAAAACCTACTAACGTATTCGACGGCCACGGGAAGAGAATTAAATTTTGATTAGTTTGAAAGCAGGGACGCGTCGAAGCTTAGTCACCAAAAGCCACCGCTTCAAGGGTTCCAATCTAACTTATATGTCCTTTGTTCTTCGACAGACTTTGACATTAGAATTGTGGTTTTTAACATTATTTGTCTAATCGTTCTTCTAATTCCTTTGAAGTTCGTGCTTTAAGACGTTTATCAGAAGAGCATAAGAAAGATTTCAATAAAGATGTATACGTTTTACAATGTTTGCTTTGAAAGTGGAATAATTTGTCGTTATTATGATTGGATTACTTTACATGCAGGTCTGGAATTTTTAGATTATAGACTTTAAAAATATAATAGTCATTATTGGAAGTTTTCTATAAGAAGAAAGTTCTATTTGCATTAGTCTTGATAAACATCCATAAAAATTCACTTAACAGGTTATTAAAAAACTTCTTGAATTATCGTCATCTTGAGCGTGGATTAAAAAAAATTGTTGATTTTGAGTTACATCTGCAGTCATTGGCGTCTTGTAATTTAGTTTTGTTTATTACAATCACATTATGGTGGTGCAAATAAAAAAAAATATATGTTTTTCTGAATTTTTCACAATCGAAAAAGGTCAAGGTGTTTTTATTCGTCTCTCAAAAATCGCATAATTTCAATATTATGAAAACAAATACTAAATTTGGTGAGATAACATTAACTCCTACGAATTTTAGCTAGCGTATAATTTTCATAATTGTTCAAATTTAAAGTAAATTTTCATAAGGAGATAACATCTTTAAAAAGTGATTTGCATTTTTCCAGTGTGCTTCTCTCCCCTGGTGTTATTTAATTATGTCAGACGATGCAAATCTGAAATTACAAGCTTACGCACCTGAACCTAGATCTTTTTTGTAAACATTTAATTATACTATAAATAAATTAAATGAATATCTTGGTTATGAATCTAATTAAATATTTATGTAATAAATAGATAATTCTAGGATGAGAGTTTTTGGTAGTAAACAATGTTAGAGCCTTTCATAAATTTTCATTAACTTGTTAAATGGAATTAACTTTAGTGTCAGTGGATATCATGAGGTTTTTATTACTACTTCCAAAACTGATAGTTAATGTAAAAATCTATTAGCTCTTGCGATCTTTGGTTACGAAGAATTTTAATTACTTGTCTGCCTGTTACAAATACCAAAATTTTGATCTTATCGATCTTAGGTTTTCTAGTTTATTGCGACCAGCAAAAATTAAATTACTTTTTTACTTCTTAATTGTTTTATTTTATATGTTTAGATTATAACAAGCATGATTATGATTTTGTTTTTTAAAGTATTTTTGAAGCACTTATTAAAGTATTTTTTCTAAAAATATTACTACAGCATTAATGACTGAAATAAATAATAAGCACACACAAAACAAATTACAAATGAAAGTAGCAAACAAAAGATATTTCATCAAAGAAAAGCAATACTTGTATGTTATTAGATGGATAACACATTTTGTACTATTTGTGGATACCATTTTTAATTAGGAATTATAAAAAAAGAGTGTGAAAAATGTATGCAGCAGAAAATTTGTTACTCAAACGAAAATATTTTGGTTAGATCTGTTAATTCAAGTGTTTTTGCAGAGCACAGAATTTTTAAAACATTTTCAGAAAAGAAAAGAATGTCAGTTTATTTACTATAATTATATTTCTGAGTTTGTTCTTTATAATATGATGTCGACGTTGTTCAACAAAAAAAACCGTTTATTTGTCTCTCATGTATTATTATCAATTATGTTTGCTTTGATTTTTTATTTGTTTTCTTTCTGATTTTGATAAATTAAAGGGGTTTTATTATTTTTTAATTGTGCTCATATTAAAACATATCAAACAAAAAAAGTAAAATTTGAGGTAATTTAATAATTAATTTTCGTGTTTTATTACAAAAAAAGATTTTTGAAAGTAAATTTTAGTAGAATTTTGCCATTTCGTACTATTACAAAATTCTACAAGTATATCATATTTCATTAAAATTAAATCAATAGAATCAATCTTTTTGAAGAATAAGGTAAGGTAATAATTTTTATTTATTAGATCGATGTTATAAAAGTTTTACAGCTTTCAATATTCCCACTTTATTGCACTCATCAAAAAATAATGCAGTAACTTAATTACACTAGTAGATCAAAATGCAATTTTAATTGTAAAACTTTGCGTAGTAATATAGAATTTTCGTCATTTTGCAGTAAAATATTAGAGTTTATTATTTGCATATTACAATTTACTATACTAGTGTATTTTGTTTTTCATAGATTTCAATTTTTGGTATGTAGATTACATTGAATAGAATAAATTCAATGAAATAATTGTCAATACATAATAGATCATTATAACATCTCATCGTGTTAGAAACTTGCAACTCTTATTAATTACTAAAATATAAGTTGGTATTTTTAAATTATATAATAAATATAAATTAAAAAAGATTAACTGTGTAGATACGAGCAATTTATTTTTTCAAATTGTGCAAATAAAGTTTCAAAAACTGAATCTACTGAAAATTAAAATTCCTAATTGTGGTTTATTTATTAGTAGAAATTTTAGGATTTTAACTGGTGTATTATAAGGTTTTTTTTTTTTTGAAAAGTTATCCTACAAAATATCTTGCCACTTTGGCGCAATATTTCTTTAAATGTAGGACACTTTGCTACAATTAATCACTTTTGAAAAGTGAGTGGTTTTCAATATACTTGTTATTTATTGGCTCTACGCGAAAATCAATCATAACATTTACTGTTTACTAAATTTCAGCATAAACAATAACATGGCCTTTATTTCAAGTTCGTGAAAGTTTAGTAAAAAGACTGTTGATCAAATAAGTAAAACATTCGCAAACTTCCTACTCCCTCAAGCATATAACTTCTTCTTTATAAATATGAAAGGTTTTATAAAAATGGTGGATGCGCCGGGCTAACAAATTTAATTTACTAAGAAAGTATAATGTCATGCACTGGAACTTCTTTTATTTTTGTGTGGTTAATATTAGTTAAAGATCAGCAAGTATTTAAAAGGTCATTTGTGTCAACTTGATTCACCGTAATAATTGCTTTAACGTTAGGTTGAAAAAAATGTTCGTGCATAAAAATTTATCCATTATTTTTTTTATTTTTTTTTATTAAAAAAAAAATAAAGTTGGATATAACCGATAAGTTAAAAAACGTACTCACCTCGATAATCACCTGTTGGTGGCGTCAGTCGTCGATGTCAACTAGGCTGTGAAGTCGGTTGTAACGTGGGGTTGTAACTGTGAGGGAAACAGTATGAACGGGAAGATCTTTTATAGGCATCGTGGCGTCCCCGCTTGCGTCTCGACGCTCGCGCCGCCCCCTTACCAATCAGCATCGGCCCATTGAACATACACTACACTTATCATTATTCATCGATATGTCATAATGAAATCCATTGATAATGTATAACTAATTACATAGATTAGTCTGTCACACCACTCGGCACAAAAAAAATTGACATTAGGAAAAATCGGGTATCTAACGTAAATATTACACTTTTCCATAAAAATTTAAAATTTGATGCAAAAAATCTGATCTTTATTTTTATTGGTTTAAAATATTTACAAATTTACATTCACAATGAATTTTTTACTTAAAAAAACATATTAGATCGAACCCAAAAAAAATATTTTTTATTTTGCAACAAGAGAAAACGTAGTTTTACCCTCAAGGGAAACCATGGAATTGCACGACACGCCAAATTTGTACTCAGAGTTATATTCTACATTTCCAGGAGATGGCGTTTCAATTATTCATCAAGTATTAATTTTCATCATCTTTACATAATACAGATAAATGACAATCAATACATTTATAAAACAATATTTTTAAAATGCTTTCAACTCAATGAAATCAGATAATATTTTTATAGTCATAAATGGTTACTAATTTACATAATACTTAAAAATTATAAAAAAACTTTAATTATTGTTTCTATAAAATCATTGATTAATTATTATTTAAATTTATTTAAGTTGATTATTTGGCAGTAGTATTATTTTTATTTATGCAATTTCCATAAATTTATATTTATCTTTTCTCTTGAGCGTAATAAAATTTAGTGAATTATAATAATTTAATAAACCGTCGAAAAATACTGACCAGCCAAATGTGAACATTGACATAAAATTGGATAAGTGTATACTATAGTGTAAACAACGCATTTGTCTTGTTAATCTCGAAAGAGAATAAATATTTACGAAAGATCCAACGTCAATATTAACTTCTCTGGCAGTAATTCGCATCTTCACATATGTCTGATTAATAAATATTAAGTCCATAAGTGACGATTACAGATTCATATTAAATATTTGCTCTGCTTCGGAGGAGAAAAATTTCATGCGTTATATTTGTATTTAATTTCATGTCGCAACAAACTTTTAATTAAAAACCTGCAACCGCGATTAAAAACGATAAAACTCCAACAAAAATAAAGATCGATTAGTTGAGCGAAATTTAATAATCGATAAATAATAATTTATTATTGATCTTAGGGAGATTACACCTCCAAATTATATTAAACCTATTCAGAATTTACTCAATGGAAAGGAACAACATATGTTGTTATTAGAAAATAATGGAATAATTTGACTTTCATGCAGAGTTCTGGCAATCAGTTGCTTTTTGATTCTTTTTCAACTTTCACAATTATCTACTTCCCTTGTCGAGACTGATTACTTAAAAAATCATTATGTGCACCTACCTACAACCAATTTAAGATTAAGCAATTTATTACGTCAACGATTTTTATTTTGAATTCAAGCAAAAATAAATATAAAAACTGTAATCAGAAAAGCTAAAAACCCTTTTTAAATGAATAAACAAGGTTTAATTTAATTCTGGCAAGTGTAACTCAGTGTCAAAATTTCAACACCTCGAAAGTGTCATTTTGCTTCCAAATTTCGATCCGAGATTATAGGTTTATAAGACTAAAAATGATAAAAGTTGTAAACTGTCAAAGGTGTCAAAAAGCCGGGCGTTGAAAGAAAAGCGGGTTGATGAAACCTCTTAACAGTCCTGTGAATTACTAGGGTATTATTGACAATTTAACGATTGTAAATTGTTAAATGTTATTCATACCATAACAACACGGAACGACGAAAATATAATAACGTGTACTGTTTTTGAATAAATGCTATGCCAAAGGTGATTAAGTCTGCAGGTTTACCAGTCCATTTAGTGACTTACATATGTGTTGAACCAATGGTTGTGCAATTATTGCAATTATTCTAATGTTGTTTATCAATTAAATGTTGTCATTTCCAAATTCACTACGCAAATATAGAGCAATATTAATTTTGGAATGACAATAAAGCAAAATTTATTTTGAGGTTTTAGCTCAATGTGGGTTTGGTCCTGTGCGATGTACATACATATTAAAGTAATAAACGTTGACTTCGGTACAAATTAGATTAGATCGATACCAATACAATTTCCGACATATTTAATTCTGTTTACCGATTTTGTGGATCTTGTATAAGAGTGGTCTTAGAAAAATATTTAACTCAAGTCTGTTACGATCCGCACAGCTTCTCCACGAACGAAAACTCAGAAAGCACTTATTTTTAAAAAAGGAAAAGTTGTTGGATTTTTTTAATATTATCAAAATTATTTATTTAACTAACAAAAAAATATCCAAATGTGATTAATTGTCTATAGATTCTTTATTCTTTTTTATTAAATAAATTAAGCAAATTTTGAAAAGCTACAGTTATAAGACGCTTTAAAAAACAATTTTTGGTGGACTGCGAAAATGTAAATCATTTTAATTAACTAAAGATTTATAATCCATTAATATTTATGTAGATTATTTGCGATTAAAGTTGAATATTTTGATCAAATAGATTTATAAATGTCATACTTTTTTATATTGCTTATAAATTGAAAAAACAAATGTTAGGAACCGATTCGGTCTTAGTAAGTTAAAAAGACATGGAAATAACTATTTACACCATATGAGTGTAAAGAAATAACTTTAGTGCTAAAATGCTAATTACGTTTTTTTTCTTTAAATTATCTAAAAATTCCAAAACTATTCAATTAACATCACAACGTGCACACTTTACGGACTGTTTTGTCATTTTTACAACATTTTTGTTCTTTTTACGGACGATTTTAAGAAAATCCAAATACATTGGGAGGTGCTTCATTACCAAGACGAAATTTGATGATCAAGGTGCCAAGCGGTGCTGTTGATAATAAGCTAAGGCATGATGAAGCAACGACTACCAATATTTGTATAATGTTTTATTTAAATTCATCCTCCTTAAAGAACAGAAAGCCAATAAAGAATTTAACAAATTTCAAAAAACAAAACATATGACACAATTCAGGTTGGGAAGTGATCACTTTCTTATCAGTATTCCAGTTGGGCAGTGGCCATTTTCTAACTAAACTGTCATATCACATATCAATTGTTAAATGACGTTGAAATGTCATACTTTTCAAGTTTTCACATGCAAGGTAATTTCATTATTACTTTATAATTGTGAATAAATACTTTTATTTTGTACCCAGTGTTAAAGAGTGCTTTTATCAACTAATTTCAGTAGATAAAGTAGTCTTTTATCGTCTTGTGAAATAAAGTAATTTTTATCTACTATTTATATTTTATCACCTAATTTCAGTAGATAAAGAAGTCTTTTATCGTTTAGTCAAATAAAGAAATTTTTATCTACTGTTTTCATTCAACAAATTCTGGTAGGTGAATACAAAATAAAACGAAATATTATACAGGACGATTGATTGTTTATCTACTCGTAAAAAAAAGTCTACTCGTGACTTTGTCACTCGTAAACTTAACCTTTTAACTCATAGATAAACAATTTCTTTATCGTCTTGTATAATAAATAACTATTACTAGTCACTTTGTAAGTAGGTAAGTTTTATTCTAAATGAACTACGAAATTTAACATTTATTACACTAATTAAAACGATATGTTATAAAATATTTTTTGCTTACATTCGTATGTATGTAGAACGTGGTAATTTGCTAACTTGACACATTATTTATACAGTAAGAGATAATGTATACATTCGCTTAGTCCCAGTTGTATTCTCTGTTAGTCTTTTCTATACCTGCTTTAATTATTTTTGGGGTAAGCATAAATGTATGTATGTTTAAATACGTAATATATTTTGGTTGTGTTAGACAAAATATATGACTGTGTACTCATATTTTTAAAGGATTTATGTCCATTTTTACCAATGACGTTTACATTAAAGTAAGTACTCGTAAATAAACTTAGAGTTAAGTTTTGTTAAGCCTCTTTTTAAAAAATTTAAAAAATATTTACTACTTATGATATACTTACTTTTAATAAGGGAACAAGTTAAATGCACAGTATTTTATTTAAACGTCAAGTATTTTTGTTCAGTAAAAACAGTAAATGTTCTAAAAGTTTAGTTAAATAATAATAAATGTTCACTAAAAATAATAAATGCAAAGTAACAAATTTGAATACCCAAGTATTTTATCCGGTCCACGCAGTCAAATAATAATTTTTGGAAACCCATAACAGTAGTTGTCAAAAACAATCATTGTTTCATTAATAGTCATAAACTGTAGTTTTTCAGAAACAATTATCATTTGTTCTATCAAGAGACGGCATAAATATGATTCTAGAGTATCTATCTTAATCACTAACTAAAAATGTTGTAATTTTTGAAAGGGTGTACAAACTAGAGAAGATTATGATTGTAATCGAGTTCAGATCGAAATATACCAGGTGAATAAAAAGTATGGAACCAAGCGTTTTTTTCGTAAACTAAGCATTTTACAAAAAAATAATTAGTGTAATGTAAAGTCCAATTAAAATGTGACCATTTATCAAGAATAACATTTTTCGAAATTTCTTTTAGTTTTCGAGTTCTGATTTTTTTTTTTTTAATGGCAACCCAGTATGGTAATTTTTTTAATTAAAGATTATGATCTAAAAATGATGTCTAATTAAACAGAATTGTTTTCTAGTCAGTACTTTTTTTTTAATAAATTGTTAAAGTTACGTTCCGAGCCCATCACGAAGATTTTCCGAACTTGAACGAGGGAGTCGTTTCATGATTTTGGTCGTTGGAGAGCCCGGTTTTTGGTGCAGGTGCTTTGGGGTGGTTCCGGATGGATCAAAAAATGTAAAAACAAATCATTTTCTTCTATTTTCAGTCCATTCGAAACCACCTCAAAGCACCTGCATAGAAATCAGCGCTCTCCCATGATGAAAAGCATGAAACAACCACTTCGGTTAAGTTCGGAAAATCTTCGTGATGAGCTCGGAACGCAACTTTAACAATTAATTTAATGGCTAAAAAACAATTTTATTTAATTAGAGGTCATTTTTAGATCATAATCTTTAATTAAAAAAAATACCATGATGGGTTGCCATTTAAAATTTTTTTTTTTCAAAACTCGAAAACTAAAAGAAATTTCGAAAAATGTTATTCTTGATAAATGGTCACATTTTAATTGGACTTTACGCTACACTAATTATTTTTTTCGTAAAGTGCTTAGTTTACGAAAAAAACGCTTGCTTCCATACTTTTTATTCACCTGGTATGTATTATTGATTGCATCTTACAGACGCAGGCCTCGTACAATTATGTGAAACATCCTGTATAAATTTCAAGGAATTCCTTACAATGTATGTTATTTTATTAATTTTGATTAAAGTTACTGAACGTTTGTTACTTTTACTGTGCAAATTGAATTTTTTTACTGTGCAAAATAGTGTATTATACAGATCATTTCTAGTTTTTTACCGTACTAAAAATTAATTAAAAAACTGATCGTTTATCATTTTATATCGAACAAAATCGAATTGTCTACTGATCGCTTTATTACTTACTACCCTTTTAATATAGAATTTTTGCAAATATTGGTTTGGGGTCACATATTTTTTTATAGATTTTGAAAATTAGAAGTATTGTGAAAGTTTTAATTTTTTTTCCAAAGTTTCCTAATTTTTAAAGGAATTTAGTTCTAATACTAACCTCGAAACTAACTATCAAATTTGGGAGGTACTGTACAAATAAATAAATTAAATTAAATTTCAAAAGCTTTTTTGTGTAAATATGACCTAAAATGGCACTAATATTACAAAATTTAGATTTTAAGGAAAGATTATAAAAAAAATCTTTATAGGAGTATTAATACAGGGTCAGTCACAGGAGAGTTACTTTGAAAATTAATTAGTTTGCAACCAAAAATACCTTTAGCGTATGTAACTGGATATAATATTTTATTTAAATTAATTCAGTAGTCAATGTGAGCTGGATGAAAATGAGTGAAGTCGTCAAAATGACAAGTAATTGTCTACTGCTTCAAGGACTCTAATTTCATTTTCTGGGCCAGTAGCAGTCCTCTGACGGGGTCTTCTATTGGGTACAATCTTGTCGTAACTTGGCTTCCAGTTTTCGAAATGTTTCAGGACCGGATGCAATCGATTTGGATATCTCTCCAAGTACAGAGCTGCTGCCGCAGGAGCATTTTTCTTACATTCTCTATGGATTAAGAGCATGTCCACTTTTTCGTTATTTGTGTAATAATACATTGTATTAACGAAAATTGACTGTTACTTTTTAAATGTCAAATTGCAAAGTATTCTTGTATTCAATTTCATAATTTTTAAAAATGAGGAAGCTAGGTGAATTGTATAATGGGTTGCTGCCCAAATTATTTCAGAAGTAACTCTCCTGTGACTAACCCTGTATAAGCCAATTGACTTCTCTGTCACTAATAGAAATTACAACTAGTTTCAATTTCTGTAAATCAGTTTATTCAATATTCAATTGAAAATGCCAGAGTTGTGCCTGACATAACGCTGTTACATTGCAGCAATAAATCTATAACTGATTACTCCCATTGCATCAATTTGTTAATAATAATACATCCCGAGATAGCTATTTCAGTATAATACGATTGCAAAGTTGGCAGTTCCTATATTATTTCCAATAATTTTTCTAAAGTGAAAGCAGTTAAAGTGAACTAAAATCAATGTTTCTAAAAAGAATTACTGAAAGATAGAGAGAGTGTACCTACAGAAAATGTAATTGTTTTATAAGAATAAAAATTTTGAATTATTTTGTGTTTTTAAGTTTTGCAATGTTCTTTCAAATGAGTACTTACTTAATATGAAAAATACAAGAAGATATTTAATTTTATTTAGACAGTTGTATCATGTGAGGTAGGTACTTATGTCTTTCGAAATTTGATAAATTCTGTATTGGCTTTCTATTCTTCGTCATTCATGCATCAACCTAACAACAACTGTAGTATCGGAATCAAAGCCAAGTTGACGAAAATCTGTTTATAGGAAAAACATTTTTTTTTATAAAATAATCGCATAGTTATTGGAAAAGTATGCCTGTAGTAAGTTTACCTTTGATCATTCATGTGAACCACATTCTATTCCTGGCTGTTCAAATATTTTATATGGGAGAAAGAGGGTGCTACTAATCAGAGACTCCAACATTGATCGTAGGTCTCGGAAACAGTGGTGCTGAATTCTGCTGAATCTTTGATGAGAACCACACCTGTAAGTTTTCTAGACAGATTTCATTTACAATAAATTGTAATGATTTATTTTCTCAAGTCAGCTGTTAATGTTCTTATCTGTAGGTTCTAATGAATTGTATAACTCACTTTTAACTATTATAAAAAGTAAACAGAAAGAACAAAAGTGGGTTTCAATATGTCATTATGAAAAAGGCAAGAAAATAAACTGTAGTCTGTGATTTATTGAAAGAAGTTGAGTTCTATTTATTAGTATTAGTTAGTAGTATTAGTTATTAGCACTGAATAAGTTACACACAATTAGTGTAACTTATTCATTGGTTATTAGTAAAAAAAATAATCAAAAGCATTCAAAACTTCAGTTAAAAATAAGATTCGAGTAAAGTGTCCTTACTAATTATTATTATTGATAAAAGCAGGTTTGTAATAATAATTCTGTGACCCCTAAATCCAAAAGCTGAGAATGTAGTATTTCCAACGTTCGTGTTTTACTGGTGGCATGTATTCCTACTCTATAACTATTTAGTTTTATTAAGAATTTGGTACATAGTTAGATATTTTAAAAATGTTTGAAGTAACAAAAGTACAGAACAAAAAATTGGTCCTGGCCCCAATAAATTGATTAAAAAAACCGCCCACGACCACAAAAACAAAAATTGCTTGTGACGTTTGTTAAGTAGTAGAGCTTAGGTTGATTTTTCATTTTTTTTTAAATTACTTGGTTTGAGATAGTAACAAAAAATTACTTGTAATCACAAAAAATGAGCACAGAGACAAGAAATTGAGCAAAAAAACTGTCTATGGCTTTTGTTAAAGAATTTTTCCAAGTATCAAGAATCAAGGATAAAAATCGTTTTATTTTGTCCGAAGACATTAATTTGCATTAATTTCGCTTTTTTTATAGTGATGGGTTTAGAGCAATAAAAAGCGAGTTAATTTTATAATACATATTTATTTCCCATCTTTTGGACCCTATACAATTTATAGCTAAGTACGTTGTCAGGTAATACAATCTTTGTATGGAATGCTTTTATCTGAAAAAGAGGGGCAAGATGGTGGGGTGGGTTATACAAATATCTGACTAGTATCAACAACAACTGACCGAGTTATTGGTCAGTACCCATTATGTTGCTCGGTTGTACTTATATTTCTAGACCAACAATTTCAACACATGTTTACATTAAACTAAGTTTACGACGCCTACTTGATTCAATATTACAATAAAGATATGCATTCCCCGGTCGATTGACAGGACTACTAAGGCTAGGTACGGGGACAGTTGCGCCCCCACCGATTGCTTGCTGGGTACAAAGTACATGCTACACAGCTGCAGCTGCTTTTACAGACTTAAAAACTACACCGATGGTTGTCACCCTTAAATGTAGTGTAGATCAGCTGTTAAAAGAATCAGTTTTTTTTCCTTATATAATATTACTTTGTAAATTCATTTGTTAAATATTATCAAATCTTTTTATTACATTATTAATTGCTAAAAATTTAAGATGTCACTTGACAAGGGGCACAGATCATGATATGTTTAAGAAGTGGTGTTTATTAACCTATGACCTAAAGCAGAGAAGGCGATTGTGGCTAGTTTATATTACCGTTGATAAGTTTTATCACAAAATTCGGTTCCGTCTTTCGCCGTCCATTTAAAATTAAAATAGACGGCGATTGCGTTGAACTGACTAAACTCCACAATTTCAAGAACATATAATTTAAAACACAGAACTCTGCAGTTAAAAAACACAGTTACAAGACGACATTTAAAGGTCGGATTGCATATAACAGGTATTATAATTTATCAATTAATTAAGCTGATATGTTTTCTATAGTCCCAAAGATAGCTGGCTGCCCAGCCTGATCACCCTGATCCGCACCCACCCTACCGACGCTCATTGAGCTGCGACATGTCTTTCGACATGCATTGGACGGAAACAATACGCAGAACGGCCGTCCAACACCTTCGAATCCGAATCAAAAATTCGAATCCAAAAATCGAGGACGGACCGCTTTTATCTGCATCTCGCGTCCAAGATGGCGCATCATCCAGACACGCGTCTTATAATTGACTCACTTTTCTTCTTGCACCAATGATGATGCGCATCTTGGACGCTCTAAATGTTTAAATACACTTATATTGATAGTAATAGATATATCACATAAACGTCACACAAAAAGCACTACGACACTATATGAATATAATCTAGATAATAGAGAATTACCAATGTTTTCAACATTATACATTTTCGACTGTTATCTCAGTGATTAGTAAGGTTGTACAAAACTATAAAATTATATAAAAATAATTACAACACTAGTAAAACAATATCTTTATAACCTACTTGTCTTAAATAAATAAAGGGCCATCTAAACTAAACTTTGGTTATAACCAACAATCATGTACCCATATTAGCATTTTTATTAAGTCTGTTCACAGTCACTTGTAGTTAATTAGAATTTTTTAATAATTGACTGAGTCACAATGATTGTGCTAAATTTCGGCTCTAATAACTTGAATTGTGCTCGAGACGGTAATATAGGTACATCCTGTTATTTTTTAAGGTACAATAAAAACCAATACTTAAATTAAAACATTAAACTATAAAATTTGCTATTCCTGTATAACTGCATGCATTCTTTGATTGCAAGATAACAAATGCATCATACTCTATTATTTCTATAATTTAAGCAAAAGCTCTTCTATAATATAAAGTTGTTAAAGAAATATTCTGAAAAACAACAAAGTCGCCCTTTGCGACTCTTCTGATAAATACCGTTAAAAATTGGGCAAATTGTATTGAATTAAATAGGACAAAATTTTCTAAAGTACTCACTTTCATGCTGGTGTAGCAAAGCCATTTTATGATATGTTTCTTAAGTTACTTATTTAAAAATGTTTTTGTTAGCGTTACACACCAAACATGTCAAGTGCATGTATTTCGTCATTGGTTTATTGCTATAATAAAACGGAAAAAATATATTAAATAAATTTTCACCATAAGACTCTAGTATTATTAATACCACTAATTATCTAAAGAAAGCTCGACAAAACAATACTGTCAGTGGACGTGAGGCACTCACGACGCACTCTAATAATTTAATAATAAATCTAAAACTTAACTTTTAGGGCACCTTTGGTTTAGCTTATCTTCATATTTTTATCATTCTCAATGAAATGAAGTTATTAAACAATCTTGATGCAGTTTACCTGTACTTATCACGTAAATACTGTCCTGCAATTCTAACAGTACAACTACAACAGTTAACAGAGATAGGTAAGCTTTGCTTTGAACAGCGATTTTACTTCGCCCAACACCACTCTAGCAGTGTCCAGCCACGACCATCGCTCTCTGTCAAGTACTCAGCGGCATGTACGAATTAAGATTGTCCATTTTCTTCTCCTTTTGTTCCCTGTGAACACACAACTCAACATCAACTACATGTGAGCCACGTGACGGACAAACACGGAAGAAAGCAACACTTTCCCAACAAAAATAAGCCACACTGGCGGCTATTTTCGCCAGTGTAGCTGACAAAAAGCGACAAGTACCCATCTCAAAAAGAAATACAATAGTGAAACCAATTAAACTGGAAACAAACTTTTCGATAATAAATACATTGGAATATTGATTTATAATCTTAAAAAAAGTAAGATAAATACCAAAATTTGTCTCTAAATATTTTATTTCGGCCTGTTTCTCAATAAAAGTTTTGCTTAGTCAAAGAGATTTTGTAAAGTGCTAAAATTGCCCAATAAAACACAAAATTTGTTTCTTGATTGGTTAGTTGTTGGTGGAGGATTTAGCATTTGGGCTTGTACTCTTTTTCTAATTATTGTTCAATAAGAATCGACAAGGAACTGCGAAATTAGAGTCTAAATTGCTATTATTATTTTTGTTTCGTCCCTCTTGGATTTATTTTTTCTTAAATAAAACTTAATTATGTTAAACGATTTTATGAATTACTTCAATCATTCCATGATTTTTTTTGTCTGAACATTTGTAAGAGATTTCTTAATGCACTCAAAATGATCAAAGCTCAAAATGTGTTTAATTATTGACAGATTTTTTCAAAATTTTGCATTGTACTTAAAAAAACTATTCTTTTAATCGTAGTGTGTTTTTATTCTCTTTTAATTAAAAAAAATCTATTTCGTGTTTTGAATAAATTTTTGTGATTTGTTTTTCTTTTTAACAAATTGTCCAAATTAATCCAAAAACTGCGAAGTCAAGCGCGTTCAATTTGACTTATATTTTTTTAATAAAAAAACTTGTTTAAAATATTTTATCCGCAAACATCACAAAAGTGACCACTTTTATGATTAAATGACACAGGTAAAAGTTTTACTTTTCAGACATGGAGTAAAAACACTGTTATTACGTCTAGGCGTTTTGACTTTTACTTGACACTTACTTTGACATTTACCACTGTTGTCTCTTTCTTGTGTCTTTCGCTTTTTCAGCATTTTCTGGAGAGGTACAAGGTAGATTATCAGCATTCTGAATCGTTTGTAGATAAAATAGTATATGTTATTTGGAGTAAAAGTGAGTTTAAACAATCACTTTTACTCCTAATAACATAATCTACTATTTTTCATTTAATGCAAGCAGTGGTAAAATCTGTCTTGTGTGATTCGATTTGTCTTACTTTGCAAAAAATGCAAAAAGTATCCAAATTTGGTTTTATTTTTAAAAGTTTCTAATTCTTCAGTTTCGAATTTATTCAAAAGAATTAGTTTTTACTCTTTCTTTGGTGCTTTTTTTAATTACTGTCTATTTTATTCATGACTATTTTTTGTTTAGTTTTAAATAAGGTTAAAAATGGTGTTTTTGTCCGTTTTTGTGAGAATGAAGTAAATGTTCCGCGGCACTGCCTTTTCCTGTTTGGTTTACTGAGATGTCAATGTTTGGGTACTTGGCTTGTTCTTAGCTTTAGGAGGAATACCTTGGTACTCAGTGTTGATTCGGTCCGTGTCAAGTGAGTGAGATTAATAAGTGCAAATGAAGTAAAAGTCTAGGTAAGTAGTCGCGAGTACGATTTAACTAAGGCAAAGGCAAGTAAACCGACCTCTGCAGCCATTTTGCTTTTGGCGTATTCGATACGTATGGGGCCGCGATCGGAGGACAGTAGGAAGGAACCTTGCAGTGCTGCCATGACCTGTGCGGCGCAACGCACATCCTGGTATTCCATGAAGGCCACCGGGGATCCACCCTTGTTGTGCATGCGCAGGCGACAGAAGCCAGGGAAGCTGTGCAACAAGAACACCACAAGTGCTGCTCAGTGTCGGGGCACTACTGCTAACTACAGGAAGTGCGAGGGTAGTACACATTCAGAGTGTGCGTTAGATAGAGCAGACCCTCACCATGTTAGTAAAAAAACAAAACCAACAGAACATTGATTACACATGCGGCACCAAAAATGGGGGAGGTGGAGACGGAGGTGCTCGCGTCGCGATTTCATCAATTCTACTTTTGAAAGATGACATTTATGAACGCGGAGACGGCTACAAGTGCAAGGTATAGTGAAAAAAATACAACATCGACCTAAAACGCGGCACCGTGAGAGGCATTGGCGCTCAATCTATACTTACAAGTGCTCTAAACACGATTTCCGCGCCAACAGCTCCTCCGTTACTGACTTGCGGAATTTGAATAAGACAGTCCTCTTAACAGAAAATTCAATTATTCACTATAACTTGCACTAAGTTAACATGGTTGCTCTTTTTCATTGTTTTTCTATGTTTTTTTCTATGTTTTGGTAAAACTAAAGTCCAACAAACCTGGCAAAGATTTCCTTTAATTCGTGTTCGGACACAAACTGGCCCAAATTTGCGACGAAAAGTGTAGAGCAAGGCGGATTGCTTACTCCCAAACCAGGTTGCGAGGACGATGACCCCACGGGAGAAGCCAAGGCAGGACTTGGTAGAAAATGTGGCAAAGATGCTGCATGTACTGAAGTTAGAGCAGTTGGATGCGGCAAAGACATTGGAGGCTGCAAATACAATCAAATTAATCTTCAACCCACACACCAACATACTCAAAGACCGAATTCCAGACAATCACACAACTCTACCATCACAATATGATTAGAGTAGCAAAAGCATTATCAGATTTCAAAAATCAACACAAAGCGAAAAACGCAATCGAAAAAATACTTCGATTGAATTCTTTGCAATTTATTTATTTAAAAAAAAAATAGAATAAAACTAACGTGGTGATGGACTGGGGCGCCAGCTTGTTGCAGCTGAGAGTCCAGAGTTTTGTCTGTAGATAGTCAAAGATAGGAACGTACGGGGACCTGTGGGTGCAGTGCGGGATGAACGAGTGTTGCGTGTTGCAAAGCAGCCCCCGGCAATTCTGCAGCTGCCGAATAAGCCAACGGATGATGCCACAATTCTGGACCACCCGGGAAGAAGGGGGTTCCCAGATCTGAAAAATACACTAGTAAGAAAACAGAAATGGTTAATACAAAAACAAAAAAGAAGAAAGTTAATATAAATAAAATAGCGGACCTTATAGGAGGACACCAGTTATTTCCATCCCCTATAAGATTCACAACAAAATAAACTCAGCGGCGTATTCAAAAAAATCGTTTACCAAAAACTACACATTTGCAAATTTACTAAAATAAGTGTACAAAATAAAAATTGTTTTATGACTGTGTTTCAGCATCTTTAATTGTGCATGGTATACAAAATTTCTAATAATAATTTAATTTCAGATTCATTTATATGTTACTTTTAGGTACATATGTTGTTTTACGTTAGTTGTATGTTGCGTGAAAACAAACAAAAAATTGAATTTTCTATACAATATTGACCAAAAAAATGAACAATGTGGCATCGGTAGTGTCTAGTGAGAGGCACCCGAGAGATTCACGTTATCCACTATAATGAATAAAGCAAAAAAATGTACCGGGTGTAACAAAAACATTTGTCAATACGCTATGGTATGTTTTCAAGGTCAAAACAAGATGGTAAAATTACTGAAAAGATTTTGCTGAAATATGTTTTGTATCAGCTACGCATAGTCAAAGATGTCGCTTCAGAAATTATAAATAATCATGAGTAGTAAATTTTGCGACTTTGTAGCTTGTAGCATTAATTTTTAACGCAAAAAAAGCGTTTTGTTATAATTTGTTATTATAGACCGTATCTAAATACGCCTCTGAACAAGATAAAACCTTAGCACACTCAATAGTCACACAGTTAAGTAAATTTTAATGTAACTTGTAAAACTTGCATTTATTTAACTACACAGAAAAAAATTCATTTATGTGAAAGGATCCCAAAAGGGTTTTTGTGAACAGTCGAATGTACTATCTGTCTAACAGTTAGGTTTTCAAAGCTTCCTAGATAATTATTTAAACTAAAAGGATCAAGTTTTTGCACTACTCTAGTTTCAGATTTTGTACGTTTTGAAATCTATGGTGAGGGTAAATATGTAAAACAGTTCTTACTTAAAGATGGGCCATAATTCATTTAAATTATGAATTTACTCGAGTCAATACATCCTTTACGATGCAAATGTTTTCTCGCCTAATCCATGAATATTCCAAAACGTACGAAATTCAGTTAAGAGAGAAGGAATCGGTGATGTATAGTACAAAAATTCGAGTTGTGACCAAAAATAAGTAATCGTCGAGAAATGCAAAACAAGGGCCGTCGAAACAGCCGTTTCTACAAGTCCAGGATATTTACATATCATTGCCAGGCAGGCTTCCCGGCAGTGCAAATTGTGTAAAATCAAAGATTAAACATGGTTATACACCACCTGCTAAATATTTACAAGCACAGAGGAGCATTGTTTATTAGTCACATCTCGTATTTATTTAGTAGACTACGTTTCGGAGTGAAGCCACGTGGAGGAAGGTGAGGAAGGGTGTGCGGTCGGGTATCGCCGTCAAAGGGCGGCCGGTGTACTTACGTCCGGTGAGGGGGTGCATCAAAGTTGGGTGCGTGTTGGCGGCGTTAGCAGCTTGCTGTTTGGGCTTGCTAACCTTCGTGTTACTTTTAGCAAACTCCAGTCGGATCGTCTGAGGCATGTCGGGGTCAAACCTTACGCCCTGCTGCAAAATTGCCCACAAAATGTGTGACCGTGATGTCAATATGCCGTTAATTGCTAAGGGCATGCAACACGCAGCAGGGAAATACATCCCTGATGCGTCTTGCGCACCCACATGTGGGACAAAACAATGTGCTAAGCCCTAAATGCATTACGAACATCGTTAAGACAAGAACAACTTTACTAAAATTAACGTCTAAACATTAAAGTCTGTTTTTTAAACGTTGTAATTTTAATACGGTTTTAGATCTATTTCAAAAAAAAATCTCATTAAACAACAACATAAAAGCGTCTAATTTTGAGACGAAACACAAAAGCGGCGATAAATTCGGTATGTTAATAGTTTTTGATTTATTTAGAATATCGTCGATAAAACTTGGACGTAAATTTTAATAAGGAATCGCTAAAGAAAACCGAATTTTAGGATGAAACAAAATGAAAACGAAAAAATTCAGACTTTGCATCAATTTTTAGCTCATTTGCAACAAATTACACAAAACTTATTGCCAATTTTCAGAATACCTACTTATTTTCTCCATATAATATCTTTCTTGATACACACACCATTTGTCATTAAATTTTTTACATGGAAAGGCTCATTTTTGTCCCTAATATTACACTTACTTGCAATCTGTTTCAGTATGAGGATCAATAAAGTAATAATGTCTGCGTCAGGTGTCGGACAATAACGCGTTCAAAAGGCAGAACAAACAAAAAACATATCTAAGATAACACCGGGTAACACTGACACATCTTTAAAAGATATTTTTTTTTATTAATTTTTAGCTAAACTTGCGTGCTTACATATTAGAAAGCATTTGTAAATTGTATTTCAGTTTTTAGTATTATGCATATTTTTAGAAACTTTGCAAAATTAGAAAAATTGGCCGCGAATTTTAAAGATATGTCAATGTTACCTCCATTGCAATGTTACCTGTCTTTACCTTATATTTTTTTACAAAATTTCTGTGGACAAAAACAAAAAACATTATTTTAGACTCACCGCCAATAAAATGTGAACCGTTTTAGGAAACAAATTTCATCAAAGGACATTTTAACTTCAAGCATTAAATTTCTCGTTCAATTTTTGGCTAAAAAGCTTCAATTCAACCGAAAGATTTTACTATTTTATTAAATCTAAATATACTGCTCCACAAAACTTAAGGAAGTGTCCAATGATTACAATAATTAATTAAATTAATAAAGTACTAAAAATAATTAATTAAAAGTGAGATAGAGCCAGATATCTTTTTATTTCTTAGTTTTTGCTGGATTGCTTAGAAGAATAAAATTTGTTTGTTGTAAAAATAATGCGACTTCCTTAACTTTTGTGGAGCAGGTTTAAATACCAAAACAACATTACATACAGGATGTTTCAGAACTCGCACCCCAGAGAAAAATGCCATGTAAAGTAAGGCACATAGAAAAAAATGTTAAAAAAATTCTATTTATAAAAATTTCGAAGTTATGGGGGTTTAAATTTTGGACTTTGACTCTATTTATTTCGGTTAGAAAAATTATTTCCAGGTTGTCTTTGCTCTAGGCTATTAGAAGGGGAAACAAGGAAGCTTTATCCTAAATTGTAACTACGTTTAATGTTATTTTGTGGCTTTTTTGGCAAATATTGAGTACCTTCACTAAAAAAATATAAAAACAAGCAAGATCATCATTAACACTAAATAGACATAAATAATGTCAAATGTCAAAAATTTAATGTCAAAATTTTTTGTCATAGAATTGTTTAACTATTTTTTCCATGTTTTTGGTATCTTATTTGATTTGAAATTTTTCTCTGGAGCGCGAGTTTTGAAACACCTGTATAAAAAAATTACAAAATATTGATTTCCCAAAAAATACATATCGTAGCACGTATTAACTTATAAAAAAAAACACATTTATGTGAATTTAAAGAAATATTAAAATTATCAAAAAAAAAAAATAAAATTCTAAAGACAATTTTTTTCATATACTAAAAATCCCATAAGCCGCGGTGTTTTTGTCATTATGACAGCGACAAAAGTTTGCCCTAACTATTACAGCGACAAAACGGAACCTAACTTTTGAAAGCATCTAGTTGGTCTGCATCATCGGTCCCTAGCAACCTGACATGATTTACGTATTCATTAAATGATCTTACCGAATTACACTCAAGCTTTTTTTTTACGAAGAAAACTTGACATTTTTAATTCGAGTTTTGTTTCCTTTAGGCCATTTAACTCAAAAAACTGCCAGAAAAAATTACGAGTCCGTAGGACTCGTAATTTTTTCAGAAGCAGCCTTTTTCGTTAAATTGCCAGAAAACAAAATTCTCATTAAAATGTCAAGTTTACTTCGAAAAAAAAGCTCTCCTGTAATTATAAGTGATAAAAAATGAGTGGTTACACTTTCCGTTTAAAGAAGTAACAGATTTTAGAAATGGAGATTTGTGCTTTTAGTCGAATTTATAAATACGTGATAAAAAAACAAGTTTTGTTTAAGTGTGATAAGCCAAGTATCGATCAGCTCCCATGTTGATAAAGATTTTAGTAGTATACCCCCTGAATAGTGGTAATGTATCAAATTCGCGGCAGGAACCGTCCAATTGCATCCACGGGGGTGCAATTTCTCATGATTTAGACGCCGCGACTAAGTCCATATCTCGACAAAAAAATGATTCTGGGAGTTGGTAATCATTTAACCCGGCGAAAAGGCAATCAATTTTCGTTATTAACTGATTCCCTAACGAATGTTGTAAATAATTTAGGCGAGCACTTGAGCACATGAGAGGTTGAGTTTTTGGGGAACTAGGAGAGGAGTCAGAAATCTAATGCTGTGGAAGCACACAGTGCGGGTGCATGCGGCAAAATGGGAATATGTTACAAGGGAGAAACTTAACGTTAAAACACTTAGAGAGACCCACCTGCAAGTCTTGCTTTGCGGCCTCCGCTCCTGCTCGGGTGTTGAAAGTCACAAATCCCACAGGCTGGAAACATCACGCGTTAAACACTGAATTATTAACGCAGGACATCTATTTTAATTATCGCTGGAGAAGTTAAAAAAATCAAATTCAATCCCAGTTATAGTCTTGGCAGTTCGAGATTGAAGTTGCGAATTCTTTGATAAGAAATTGAATTTGAAATCGAAATGTGGCGTCCACTATAAAATTCCATACAGTATATGTGGAAAAAAAACTTGACTTTGAACATTATTTCGTTGAAATAATAAATGAAAGATTAAAGTTTCACCAGCAATAAAAATAGACACCCCTGCTTATATCTCCTTGGACACTTACCGAAGCGGTTTTTCCATTTTTGCTTGTAACTTTAAGTAATGATCCCTCGTAACCCTAAAACAAGAAAAACAGAAATTGAGTCGACGAAGCGTATAGTTAGCCATAAATGTGTTTAAATTGGCGTTGCTAAATTGGATTTTCTATCACATAAATTAAATTTTGGTCTAATTAAAAATAATTGGACTAGAATGGATTACATGAACTACCTTTAAACGGCAGACTAAGTGAAACGTTCTATAAAATGAAATAAATTTACCTCATAAGCCCTGAATAATAAATACAACTCCCGAGGCTTGGCATCCATAGGTAGTCCGCTTACGAATAATGTCCGTACCTGCAAAAAAAATTATATTAAAGACGAGGAGATGAGAAAATTAATAAACGTGCAAGCGGACGACTTGTCTGTCTGGCGGTGCAAAACTTATATTAAATGAAACAGACATTATTACTAAAACAGAATTTTAAAATTAAAATTGCGTTCAGTATAACCGTTAATTAATTTCGAAAGGGGTTTTACTTGAAATAACTAAAAAAATAAACATTTGACATGAGTTAATGTCGTATTAATATTCCGGAGGTGTATTGTTTGAAGCTGCAATTTAAATAATTAAGCGAGCTTTCGTTGCAGTGGACGACTGTTTTATAGACGTGCGCTGGCAGCGAGCTTTCGAGTAGTCGTTGAGCTTTAGAAATGAGGATGAAAGAAAACCTGTGTCACACGAAACCAGGCGCTCTCTAGCAAAAGCTAAGGATGAACATTCCGAGTAAACAAATATCCTGTCTTTGTGCCTACGCCCTTTTGTATACCCACTTCACCGTTTATTGGGGATGTTGCTTCACGTCAAACGTGATTCATATGTGTTAGATTACGCGACAGAGTCAACAGCTTGAAAAATTCAATAACCGGCATCTTGAGAAGAGCGATCAGACAATTTTATTAATTTGTTTATTGCTGGAAAAGTTGGAGTGTTGTTTTATTCCGGTTCGATGTCAATTAAATGTGACTTGAAAGTGGGAAATATCGACATCAATTCTCTACGAAGTTGGATTTATGATTTATACCCTTCACGTCGCGTCTCTCAAGACTTTTCTAAAGGAAAAGTTTCACAAACTATTGAAAAATCTCGCAGACGTTGTCGAGGGTGTTGGAGAATATTATACATCATTTAAGTGTTGATGTTTACTTTGTGATGTTTTCCCAACTTAATCACTTCTTTACTTAGGGTCCGCACTACGTTAAGAAATAATATAGCGATACAGAGGGGTTCAAGTGATGGATTATTCGCACACTAAACATTATCAAGAACAATTTCAAAAAAAATTGTACGCTCAAATTAATTTGTTTTGATAGTCAAGCATAAACAAAAACAATAATTGCTCTGACGCATAAAGGGATTGTTTGTTGTTTGCTTGGTATGTCATTACTTTTAATAAATAACGTGACAAACAAATCTAGAATTAACCTATATCAATGCTAATTTGGCGGGTCTACCGCTGAGAATACGGTTATAATTATTGTTTTGATATTAATTTTCATAGTTAGGACAACCCTTTGCAAACGTCACGTAAACGGTAGTTAGAACAGCTCAAAAAAGTTTAATTTGACAAGGAAAATTGCTTCAAACCCGGGGAGATTGCCTTAAATAAACTGTTCACAAATTTTCTGGAAAAATTAAGGGTATTTTACAGAATAATATATTACAACTTGCAAAATGTAAATTATAGTTCAGGCTTAAGTATCATTTTGCTCGTAACACTAAATTGAAAAATGGTGGAGGCGCCAAGTTATTTTTTAAATATCATCTCTTTTTATGTAGTCTTTTGCCGTTAAAGTGTTTCCAATAAAAAAGCAAAGTTCTTTTAGATGCTCTTTAAATTAATGAATATTTAAATGTTAAATAAGATTATTATTTTATTGTTTTCTTATGTAGGATAGAAACAAGACGATTGACATATTCATTAAAGCGTAATTTACAAAAAACACTTCTTAGTTGATAATGTTTCTATATTTTGAGTAAAAAAAAGGAGCATAAAAAATAAGAATAAACGACTTGTGTTTGTGTAAAAACTTGGTTTCATCTAAAAATACTTTTGTTCATGTAGCACAAATAGGATTTGAGTTTAGATTTCCTAGAATTTTATATTTGCATAAAATGAGAAAAATGATAATTAGGTTGTGTGAAAATGTGGATTTTCTCGTTATTTTACTTTGACTGTTTTAAAATAACCCATTTTTCTCGCAAAGCTCATTTTAAGTAGGTATAGCATATTCTGTTTACAAGAAAATCCCCTATATTACAACGTTCATCTCTGCGTTTCCTCGAATTTAATCTGGGCGTGTTATTATGTTTGCTCCATGAACCGTGCGTAATGCACCTTGTCTAATGGAAAACTAAATAATCAAGTCAAGTTTGGCAAATAGGAGATTTGACGGCTATTAAAAGTAACAGAATTGGGGCCAAGTCATTGTTCTTGCGATTGGACTTTACCAATTATTATAACTCGATATATATGCAAATCTGGAGTGTTATTACAAAAGCTCGCTTGACTAACATCCTGTTTGAATTAATTCTGCTGTATCGTATCGATCAGGTGCATTTACACGGCGATTTATCACCGATGGGTATTATCTAAACCGCAAGGGCGTGGTGTAGTCCCTCGACGTCCGTCTTTGCCATCTAAAAACATAAATTCGGAGGGAAAATATGTCAAGTTCCAATAGCGAGTGGACAGTATGCACGCATGTACGAGTACGACGAAGGCAGAATTGGCGTGAAATGTTGGAGGACGTTTATATTTAATGCCGGCAGAGCCCTCAAGTCTAAGGATAAATATTTTAGTAGCAGCAGCAAGAAATGGGTCTCTTCTGACAGACTGTATATTACGATCCTACCTTCACCTATGCATTCCGCGCCAGCTCTAACTTCATAGAAATGTTACAGAAGATATTAATAAATATTTAAGGCGAGCATCGACAATAAAGCTCCTAATGTAACTTCTTGTTAGCATCTTGAAAGCGATATTAACGTGAACAGATAGGATATGTCAGCTTTGTTAGATTGCTGTAATTACAATTTGAAACTGTCTAGATCTGTGACATAATTCGCACGGTTTCTCCCAACCTGAGACCGCATCTAAGTTTCCAAGTATTTATTACAGACTTTGGCTATTTTATTTAATTAACAGCGTCAAATTACACATATTTTGCGAACAGTTTAACTCGCATCTCCTTCTTCATTAAGAATATTGAGGTCTTAAACTTACACACCGACGAACAACTTACATGCCTTTGTTCAGATTATAACTTGGCAAAAGACGCGGTTAGTGTATAAGAAAAGCGACGTTCCCCGTATTTGTCTTTAGTAATGAATTTTAATGGAACAAAGCTAATGTTATTTTTCGTAAACAACCCCTACATTCTATTATTGTAGATTATGTTTATACCCATATTCTGATCCCTTCATAAATTAATTAATATTTTAACATGTTCTACGTCTCAGCAAAAAAGAGAAGATAAACCGAAAATCAATATGTGCCATTGATAGATTAACCGTCACTTGACTCAATGTTGATAAAAGGAATGGACGAAAAGTATTGCAAATATTCCATAATATAAAGAAATTCAGTTTAAATGCCTCTGAAATGGATTTCAGTAATATGCAATTTTTTCAAGGTAAAATAATAAAGTTTTTAAACGAGTCAAACTTTAGAAAACAAGCACTGAAACAAGAATTAACTACAGAACAAGTAGGAAAAGTCTTATAAAAGAGTTTCCTATATAAGTTATTTTCAATTTACAACACATTCGAATTAAGTTTAAACTTTAAATTCAGTTACTTTAAAGCTTTAGAATTACAATAAATAGAAAATGTATTAAAGCCAAAGTTGATATTGTGAATGACTGTTTAATAATTACTTGGAATTTGGAATATATCAATAAACATTTATTTTTTTATTAATACTGTAAAAAGCTCTAACAATAATTTTAAATTTTTGTAAGCATTTTTGCAACTAAGCTGTATTGAAAATTAGACAATAGCTGGCGCCCAATATTATCAGTCGATTTTCTTTAGATTTTAAAAATTCATATTTAAAAAAAAAAAATTCAATAAAATAAAAAATATAAAATATATTTTTTATTTTGTACTCAATGTTAAAGAGTGCTTTTATCAACTAATTTCAGTAGATAAAGTAGTCTTTTATCGTCTTGTGAAATAAGGTAATTTTTATCTACTGTTCATATTTAAGAAATTCTGGTAGGTGAGTACAAAATAAAACGAAATATTATACACGACAATAAAGATCGTTTATCTGTTCGTAAAAAAAAACACTCGTGACTTCGTCACTCGTAAACTTAACCTTTTCACTCGTAGATAAACAATTTCTTTATCGTCTTGTATAGTTACTTATTATACAGGGTGTTTCACATAATTTTTCGAGGCCTGCGCATGTAAGATGCAATCAATAATACATACCAGGTGAATAAAAACTATGGAACCAAACGTTTTTTGCTATTTATTTTTTGAAAAAACTAATTGATGAGTGCTAAAGTACTATAAAAATGTGATGATTTAACAAGAATAAAATTTTTCGAAATTTCCTTTTATTTTTGAGTTCTACAAAAAAATATTTTTTTTAAATGCCAACCCACTATAAAATGATTTTTCTCATAAAACCTATACTCTAAGGATTACAACTATATGCTTTATTTTTAATTTTTTCAAAAAAAATTTTTCACATAAATTGCAATTTTGATAAAAAAATCTCAAAACTCAAAAACAAAACAAAATTTCGTTCTGAAATTACGATCACATTTTTTATATTACTTTAATTTATATTAATTATTATTTTCCGGAGGCAAATGATTAAAAATAAAACCGCTTGGTTCCATACTTTATATTCACCCTGTATTCCGATACGAACTCGATTACAAATTTTGAAAAATTGGACGATCTTCTCTAGTTTGTTCACCCTTTCAAAAATTACAACATTTTTAATTAGTTAGTGATTAAGATAGATAAACTACAATCATATTCATGCCGTCTTTAGAGACTATTCTCTCTATTTAGATAGAACAAATGATAATTGTTTCTGAAAAACTGCAGTTTATGACTATTAATGAAATAGTGATTAGTTTGACAACTACTGTCATGGGTTTCCAAAAATTAAATAATTAAATGTGTATTTTTTGTATCCTGTGTTCTGTGGCTTTTGTATATTTGGGTGCGTACATTAGGCGCAAGCCTCGTAAAGTTATGTGAAACACCCTGTACAAGACGATAAAATTGAATTTTATCTTTGAGAGCAATTTAGCGTCGAGGCGTAAGCCGAGTT